GCGCACTGTTATTTTTAAAGAAAATCAAAGACTTTAGAGTGCGCCTTATAGTGCGGAACATGCGGTACTTGGAGCTAAGAACATTTATCATATATATATCGTACAGCTGTTTCTATCTTTTTTTGCACTATTTTACATGTTCAGATTTGATGGCAAGCTGCATTTTGTTTTCGGAGTTCTTGTACTTCCATCAGCTCTACATCAGCTCAAATACAGTATACCTGAAATGAAGAAAAAAAAAACAGATCAGATTTGAAAACGAAAGGAACTTTTCATACAGGGCCAGTGAGACTGCAGTAAATGAGGGCAAACCTACATCTTCGCCTTCAGTTTGACATGTGGTGCCATTTTATTCAGTGTTATGCCAGAGCAGTCAGGATATTTGGATGTAGTATGTGAGACTGAAAATGAACAGATCATGAATTGACTCAGGCCATCAAGCCACTATTTTTTTTCAATTGCATGTCGCCATGACAGATGACTTCCGGTGTACTGTATTAATAGAATGAAACGGCTTTTGATTGATGCGGGCTGCTTCATTAACACTCATTTCATTGCCCGCATTTACTGCTCTATAGGTTACTATTGTGCATTTCATAAACTTTGATTTGAGGTACCATTATTGCAATGTGACTGTAGTCGATTGTCCAGATTACATTAACAGGACTATGTTGCAGATTTAGTTTTTACTTTTGCCTATTCACCCACAGTGTAGGAAAGGGATGTAGTACCATGCCAGTTTGGTAATGCCATCGAGCACAGAAGGCATGAATGAGGTGAAGTTTGGGTGGGTTATGCCCAGTCAGTATCCCTCTTGCTGATACCTGTTCCCAGAGTATAGCCCGAGTTTGAGCGGTTGGTCTGTCTAATACTGGGCCACATCAGCATATAATTGATTAAAACGGCTCAAAAACCAGTCATGTTCATGGGCAAAGTAGAGTAAAATCAACTTTTCTCAGTGAGAATCCTTCTGCGTACCACAGCAAAGTACTTGGAGACATAGATTGAAAGTGGACATGAAACTCTAGCTGTAGTTAGCATAATTTATAAGACAGATTCTCACTCTGAAAATCCTCATAGGGTCACTCTTTAATCTCTATATTCACTGTCAGTGAAAGTGGATTAAAAATCAGTAAGTTACATTTTTCGAACAATGGTAGCACCATCTTTTCCTAGTGTAAAATGTCATGAAGTCGGTTGGCTTGGAAATCCATATTAGTTCCTATTAACTTTGCTGCTGCTTATTGTAAAACAAAGTCTGTAATATTACACCACCTTTAAAGATTTCCAGCCTCATGCTTCACAATCCAGTCTCAAAGATGTGTGGTTCAAACAACGAATGGGCACACACGTAATGGTCACATTGTGAAAGGAGACGATGTAAGAAACATTTTAAAATGATAGATTTCATAATGTAAAATAAGCCTGCACCCTCGTCAGTGTCTGCTTCTGTCCTTTTGATTTTTATATTAGCAAGCTTGTAATATTGGCAATTTGTTAGCTAAGCAGTAGACGGCAGATAAGACAGTGGGGTCATGTACCAGGTCTCATAAAACAATATAACAGTGAAATGTCTAGTTTGATATGATTCTAGTCTTTTGACAAAAATGCAATTTGGCTTTAGTTGTATTTTACTCCTTCACTTTTAGTCCAAGAAAACTACAGGATATGTAGTTGATTAAATCTGCTTTAGTCGACTAAATCTACAGTGCATGCAGTCAATGAGTCAATGAAACTAAGAGGTTTAGTTATAGTCTAATGATTTTTACATTTTTAAAGAATTTTCGCTTTTCTGTGTACATGTACACACACAAACACACGCATTGATCTGCCACCATTCACTCCAAATTCCTAAAGGAAACATAAAGCTGTTGTTTTGGCATGTGGTCTTTAAGGACACAGAATTAACTTTTGTTAACTTGATTGTAATATGAAACCTTGCACTAATTCTAAAATTGTGCGGCAGGCACAAAGTTTTTAAAACAGCAGTACACACGAACAAGATAAAGCAAGAGACACTGGCAATGACCCAAAAACAGTCAGGTAAAGGGCAAAAGTAACTTTCTAATGCCGGAGATGACCATTACCTTAACCAACAATGCCTCATAAATCAGTGGATGACCTCAGGGGACCTTCAACAATGGGGAAACATTAAGCCAGGGTGTCAAACTCCAGTCCTGGGGGGCCGGAGCCCTGCACATTTGGGATTCCCCTCAGTTACCACACCTGGTTCAACTCCTGGTGCTAATTGCCACACAGCTATTGAGCCGAATCATTTGCGCTTGGAACAGGGAAAGCGCTAAGCTACACAGGACACTGGCCCCCCAGGAATTAAGTGGTGTCAAGTGCACTGCAACAGTCAGACAATTCACAACAGGCTCCTGGAAGCAGGACTGATGACACATAAAGCAAAGAAGAAGCCCGTAATCAATGAGAAGCAGAGAAGAGCCAGGCTGCAGTTTAAAAAGTAAAAAAAAAAAAATGTATATTTACACATAAATTCAGAAATAAGTGAAACTGAAACTTTTGCTGTGGTCTCATAATTTGTTCCAGAGCTATATATGTTTTTTCCCCCAGTCATGTTTTGTTTAGTAAATCCAGGATTTTGCCTAAAAAGCTGCTTATACACTTTTCCTGCATTTGTTTATACAACCTTGATAAATGGGGCCCCTGGACCTTTTGGAGAGTAGGATGCATTATAATCACTACTTGCCTGGTAACTGAAACACTAGTTAATGCATTTCAATCATCATAATTATTTAAGGCGGCCTGAATTTAAATGAAAGTCAGCACACTTTCCTAACATTAAAGTCCAGTCATGTGTATCCATTCTGTAGGATTGTACTTAAGGTATTGAGATTAACTGTCCATATGGTTTATGGTGTATGTGTGCCAGTAGTGTAGTGATTTACTTATAGTTTGAGTTCACCTTAACTAACACCCTGCATTCTGTAACAGAGAACATACCAGAAAAGTGGACACCTGAGGTGAAACATTTTTGCCCTAATGTCCCCATTATACTTGTGGGCAATAAGAAAGACCTGCGAAATGACGAGCACACGCGCCGGGAGCTGGCCAAGATGAAGCAGGTATGAGCTTGTATAACTTCGCAGGAACGCTTTTGGGGCACTTTTCTGCTGCACCAGGTTCCATGCTTTTGGTACTTTCCCTTTTCCACTGACTTCCAGTCAAGTACCAGTATCAAAAGTTCTAGTACCTAGAAAACCAAATGAGGATACTTTTTTGGTACTTAAGCACTTTGGAATGTGACTTGCAAATGCTTTTTTGTTGATTGGTTATTTAAATATCTTGTTCTTCAAACATAATGCAACCGCCCTCCTGAAAGTTTGAACTCAGAAAACAACAATAAACAAAGTAAAAAAATAAAAATGATAAAAGTAGTAATAATGAAGGCATGGACAAATTGAGATCCAAACTTTAATTGAGATCCAGTTGGAGGAACAGATCAGAGAACAAGATCAAGATGACATAACAAGAAATAAAATATTTTCTATAATATACTGGGTCAGAATGGTATTGGGAAAACTTTCATATATCACACTGTGATTTTGTTGTACTAAATAGTGGGGTATTTATAAAGTAAAAAAGGTCAACATAAATTTCTCGCAAACCCGGCACGGAATGATTTAAACAGCAAGGATGAATTCAGCACAAAATACCCCACCTTGCACAGTGATGTCATTCAGCGCTGATACCAATTTTCACGGCAGTGAAAAAGCTAGTACTTTGAAGTACCATACTTTCTTGAAGTACTAAAATTACAGTACCTGATGCGGTGGAAAAGCACCCTTTTTGAGAAATCTCAATACAAAGCTAATCATTCCAGGGATGTAACTTCAGTAATTATACACATGCACCCTTTGTGACATTGTATTATGGCACAAAATTTATTTTAATCAGAATAACATTCACTAGGTCAATATCATTTAGTCATGGCAATTTTTTTTAAGAGGACAGTCAGCCTTTGGGCACAAGTCTTGCAGCGCCCAACAATCCTTGCATGTGAGCAAAGCATGACCTTCAATCTTGCTTCATTTCTGTACTCAGGTTGTGAATAATGGGAATTATTTCCATAATCCTATATTGTAAAAATTTTTAAAATAGGTTTTATCATATACCTTTTACTATCTAAAATGTTTCGTTAACCAGTTTTAAATAATTTTCTGTTACCCTATCCAGGAGCCAGTAAAACCAGAGGAGGGGCGTGATATGGCAAACCGCATTAATGCTTTTGGCTATCTGGAGTGCTCAGCCAAGACAAAGGATGGTGTGAGGGAAGTGTTCGAGATGGCAACCAGGGCAGCACTGCAAGCCAAGAAACGTGGCAAGAAGAGCGCCTGCCTCCTGCTATAGAGAACCCAGGGTTAGGAGGGAGCGGTGTGGAGAGAAGGGGGATCTAAGCAGGCCAAGGAGAATTGGGAGGGGTGGGGAGAGGAGGCAACGGTGTCCTGGTGCAGAAGGTTTTGTAGGGAGAAACGGAGGAAAAGACTATCAAGCCTGCTCAAAAGAGAAGGGATGTTCATGTTGGGATAAGCTCTAAAGAAAAGGGAGGCAGCATTTTCATGGCCAAGTTTTGAAGTTTCCAAGTTTCTAAATGTTCACTGCAGTCATTTTTTAGGAAAGATTATATTTGATGTTAGCTTTGTACTGTTGCACAGTTAAATTGGCCTCCGACAATGGAAAAATATCTGACGCAAATAATAAAGAGGCAGATTCGTACTGGACTCGGGTTATCTGAAGTTCACTTTTTGATTCTCTTGATTTTTATTTTTTTTCCCTTTTCATTTTGGTAAAAATGAATGCAACTCCAGCTGGAGGTGCAGTGTTGGGGAATTGCGTGTATCATCAGGCATGTCGCCTGTAACAGGGACGCCTGTATGTGCATGTCAATGAGTCTCTATCTCTCTCTCTTTCTCTGTTTGTCAGTTTCCCTGTGAATGTATGTCATGACGGGCAGTCCCATTCACTTATGGAATAACCACCTCCTCCACGAGTTACTATTATGAAACAGTTAGGGCACAAACTGAAAATTCTATCAAACTTAAAACAATTATCCACTTCAGTGGTTCATTGAGGCAACCTGCCATTTCTGAATTCTCTTAATGTTAATAATATTAATATTATTTACCTTTGCATATAAAATTCAAATGAAATGCATAAACAAACCATATCAGTTCAGTTAATTGTAATTGAGTTTTTCTATGCTTTGTGTATTGTAGATTAAACTACTACTAGAGTAACTGGAATTTGTGGTATTTGTGATGTGGACTTTGAGATGGACTTTATTGGTGTAAATTTGAATAACAAACACTTAAGTCATGATTTTGAAAGGACCACAGATTTTGGGAATATTTTCTGGCTGATAATTTTGCGAGATGTGGCAGTCTAGTTTGTAATGAGCGGGTGTCTCACTCTCCCTGTATAAAATACAATGTTACTCCCACCACCCTTCTCCATGTCCCCCTCCGATTTGTCTATTCTCCCCTTTATTTGCTCTTGTACTGTATATTTAACCCTGTGTGAAATTTTACTGGCTTGTCTTTGTATCAGTTATGCCTTTTTTGCAAAATGTAGAACATAATTTTAAAGAGTAAATGTATAAAACCTGAAGAAATACAACTTAATGTTAAAATATTAAATGAGAAACTTTTTTTTAAATGAGGATATTAACATTTAATTGAAAGAAACAATGGAGCAAATAACCTTTTGTACACATGCATCTTGGAATTTCCTGTCTGCTTTTAAATGTTCTTTAAAAAAAATAAAATGTTTTTAGGGTAACTCGTTCTGTTAATTTGTCAAGATTTCATTCTTGCTCATTAGACTTGCAACATTCTGGGAATTTTCAGAGTTGGAAACTGTCCATGGGAATTAAGCTGGAAATTTGCAAACTAGTGGGTTAACCTATAACAGGGAAGTTAAATGTAGTTGGGGGAAAAAAAACATCTTCAGCAGTATAGTCTTGGTAAAAACAACCAGATTTAATGCAGATTCATTTGAAATTCTACTCTGCACTGCATTCCTCCATCACATGCTCAGATAATGTCTAGAATCCTGCACACTAGAGCAGGACTGTTGAAGCCATACTACTGCATTTGAGCCCAGGATCACATCCAGTGAAGTAAGTTTTAATGATATTTACTGGGTTAAAATATTTGATCTATGGTATTCAACTAACAAACACTAAATCAAAACGTGTTTATAGTGTAGCTATAGCTATCTGGAAAATCAGATATGCTAAATATAAGCTAGCTAATACCATTCATTGACAGTTTAACCTGACCTGATTGCCACAAAATGCGTTGATTGAATTTCAAAACAATAAATCACAAACCCTTTGACATAAAAATCATACATATATCGTTAGGATTACAAGACACTGATGGATGAAACGGTATGGATAATGGATGGATGGATTTTCCACCCCTCTGCAATCCTATTGCTCATACTTTTATGATAGTTTTCTCTGGATTCTGATGTATTTCAAACTGATTTATGCATCATCTTGTGAGAGTCAGACTGTGAAGACTACAGCCAGTCAGATTTGGTTTACTTTGTGCCAGAATTCAGAGGAGATGTTTGTCCATTCAGGAGACTATTGGAGTATGACAAGACCCAAAGAGATACCAATAAGTAATTCACCCAAAAGATCCCATTGTAGATAAATCGATATAATTTATTGGCCCCAAGCAGGAAATTTGGATTATTTATACTTGATAAATGGAAGGCGTATTGAATTTGGTATTTGTAACAGGTGATTGTTTCTGGTCCTTAGCGCTGGAGTATCTAAGAGTACCTTTCAGTGGTATTATGTGTGGTATTTCAGTGTTGTCTGAAATTACCTGTACCACACTATGTACCATGGCGTCTGAACATGTGGTGTAACAATTGTTTAAAATGAGCTCTCTCTTAATATATAATTGTTGCATTCGGCGGGCGGGCGAACAAGGAAGTAGGCGAGAGAGCCGTGAATACCGGAATACAGGGTTTATTCGGGGCAGACAGGCGACGAACATCAAACATGACACAGGTGATCACAATCGGGAATTAACACGAGGTAACGAGGGGGGCGTGGCACACACGAGGATCGGACGAGCTGGGCGTGGCACACACGAGGATCGGACGAGCTGGGCGTAACAATAATCAGATCATCAACGATAAACCGCCATGTGTAGGGGAAATCTTGTTGTATTCCTGGGCATTCAGACTGAAAGCAGATGATGTTTTACCTTGTGAATGTAAGTCAAGAAGTATTTGATGGATCTTATTACAATTTCATAAGACATTGTACAGATAAAGATCTATACCTTATTGTATTCCCCAGACTCCAGGAATACATATGGCTTTGGGACCAGTCTGCCACATAATCTTTGCTTGTTTAAACGATAACCATTTGTTGGATCATTTTCAAACTTTGCAGAGACATTGTGTGGGTGACAAATTTACAAGTAAAAATCTACTCTTGACAAGACCCAAAATCGCTTATAAATCGTAAAACTGGAACTGCAAGACAGGGCAGCTATTTGCAAAAATGGAACCTGCATCTACAATCTTGTGGCCATCTGCCATCTAAACTTATTTTGTATATCTGTTTGGCAAACTTCTGAGAACATTGTATGGGTCAGTGATTCTAAAACCACAGCATAAGATGATTTTCTGAATATCATACAGTACAGTTTACTTACATTTTTGCTGCTAGCCTTTCCATTCTGCAAATTGTATCCATATCCTCCTGAGACCCAAGGAAAAAAGTGTCCTTCATTTGTAGGTTATTTGTCTTTGGAGGAAATAAGACATCTTACAATTTAGATTTTTTTCAAATTTTTTTTTATTTTTAATTTCACAGCATGTCCTCTTTAGTGTACAACAGGAATAAATATGTTTCCTTACATCAGTGAAAAGATGCAAAAACAAAATGTCCACTACAATGGACATAAATGAATGAATGGGTGGGGTCTCAGGAGGATATCTGTCTGGTAGCCGCTCCATGAAATTTATTTCTGGAGAATTTAAATCTGTCACATTTACATCTTGAGAGATGGAGAGAGTGTGCTTGGTAGGCTTGTAATAATGTTTTTTGAGACTGGGGTCTTTTCATTTGGCAAAATTGAATTGTGTCACTTAGCGATTGTCCAGTCCTGTCTATTCAGTGGTGGCATATGAAAGAACAGGCACAGATCCAGTGAACAACTCTTGCAAAGTGCTTCACGGTCACCAGAAAAATGGCTTTACAGTGCACTTGTACCCGAAATTTTACTCTCACCTTTCTATATACCTGTATGTATGTCTGAAAAGGACAGCAATTAACCACATTTAACCATTCAAAAACTTGAGTTCAGCCAGCAGGCAAGATAAATCACTTGTTTGCAAATATTCCTTGTTTTGTGGGAAAGGTATTGATAAATGGGGAAAATGCTGTTGTCATTTGTAAATATTGTTCTTGATTGTGGCTAATCATGTGTATATACTAAATATAAAATAGTTTTTGTTCAGCTATTTTATTGTGCATAAAGAGCATGTCATGGTCAATGAGGTCCTGGATTTTGCGGGCTTCGTGCATCACAACCTTTTGGTCACAAATTTCTGAAAACGAGAGGAGTTTGCTGACCGGCTGTACAACCTTGCGAGCACAGTCAGTGGCTACCTGGAAGTTAGAGATGAATGAAAACAGCAGACCAGTGTTGGTTAAAAAGTGACCTCGTATCGCTCCCTTCATGACCAAGCTTTACACCAATTAAATCCAGGTTTAGGTGATGGCTTCTGTCTTCGATCACAGTTATAATGTTACCCAAAGAAAGCAGTCACTTATCAAAATCAGCCAGCTCCTCAGAGTGCCAATTGGTTAGACTTTACTGAAGCGACTTCTTTTTTTTTGGACTTAAAGTCCGCCCTCACTGTGTTCAAATCAGCTCTAAGCTCCGAATTGTGGTGGTGGAGTATACCATTTAACAAGTTCATATGTTTGGAAACAAAGTTTTCATCTCCTCAACAAAAGGAGAGGAGAAAGGGCATCCTTGCGCTGACCTCCTCCAGACTAAACAGAGTTAAATGAAGTCTGCACTGATTAGCAGCTATCAGGAGGGATAACTGCCAAATCTGTGTAAATTTACTAACAGGTAAGTGGCAAGTGCACTATGAATGAGGCAAAAAAGGTGGAAAACACATGTGGAAGAGTAGAGCTAGGCAGCTATTGGTGGCGTGTCAAGTGACTCCCCAGGTAAATTAAAATTATAAATAAATGAACACTGCATTAGGCAAATATTTGTGCTCATAATTTAAGCATGGTTCACCAACTCCCAAGAGTTCTGATGTTCATTATAGCCCAAAATTCAATCCTTTTCACATGCCCCGTTCTCAGGGAATTAGCCTTTTAAAGTACCACTTGCAGGCACAGACCAAACCAAACCTTTAAGATAGTGGGCATTTCTCGACAATTTCAACAATTCTCCCTGTTGTATCCCTACATGCTACCGGCAACCCTCCCTCCTAGTCTTTCATAATCGGTTCATCCAATTTACTTGGTTTGAAACAAAGTTGGCTATTAATCAATTAAGCAATCAAAAATGTGCACAGTTAGATAAAGTTAAAATAAACATTCAAAACCTTTGTCATGTACAAGCATCATAATATACGTTCAGTTTTATGGATAAATTGGATCTGGATCTAAATATCTAAGAACAGAGGCACAAGACAAGAACTAATACCGAAAAACGTGAACACACTAAACTTGGGGTGAAACGTCCCCAAAATGTCCCGTGTAGCTGAACCCATGACAGTAGGGATGCACAGTCACCCATTCAGCCCACTGAGCAATGCAGTGGCCCTGGGAACAGGGGAAACACTAGGAACAGTGAAAGGTGCAAGACAGAGAAAAGAATGGGAAGGCCAGTGACACCTGCTGCCCAAACGGGGAGACAATCAGGGCTGTGGAGTCGGAGTCGGAGTCGGAGACAATTTTGGGTACCTGGAGTCGGAGTCGGC